ATCAGAACTTGATGAGGAAGATTCAATCCTAAAGAAAAAGCTTTCTCGTGATTTATTTTAAGTAAATCAAGTCTAATTAGTTTAAGTTGAACTAGTGTTTATTGTCTTTTATTTCTATGTTTCTGTTTCAGTTCTGTTTAATTAGTTTTTGTTTTAGTTTTGTTGTTACTCATCACGGGTTCTGTCTTTACTTGCAGGTGAAAAAGGAGTGAAGTTTCATTGTGTGGTCACGGATTTGCTGTTGTGTCACGGACGTCCTTTTGTTTCACGGATTTGCTGTCAAGTACTTATCTTTTGTTGTGTCAAGTACTTATCTTTTGTTGTTGTGTCACGGAAAGGAAGTAATGTGTTGGTTTTCAAGCTGTATTATTTTGTGTTGTTGTGTCACGGGAAGGCAGTAATGTGTTGGTTTTCAAGCTGTACTATTTTGTATTGTTGTGTCACGGATATGTATTTTGTTGGTTTTCAAGCAGAAGTATCAATATATATATATGTGTTCTCTTTAGACGACAAACTCATCAACCAAATTTCTCTCTAGCTCTCTTTCTTTCTCACAAACTCATCAACCAAATATCTCTCTAGCTCTCTTTCTTTCTCACAAAGTTCCCCACCATTTCTTTTCTTTTTGATCACAAAGTTTCTCATCTTCTTTCTCACAAATTTATATGGCATCTTCATCTCATAATAATTTTGAGACAGTAGATGATGAAAGTTTTGATAATTATTTTGACGAGTACTTTGATGAATATTTTGATGAAGCTCTCGAGAATTTCACCATTCAACATGGCGATCAAGAAGAAGGAAAAATCAAGAAGCTGTCCGAAAAGATGTCGAGCGTGCTTTTGGAGTCTTGCAAGCTCGCTTTGCAATTGTTAAAAATCCAGCACTTTTTTGGGATAAAGTCAAAATTGGGAAGATTATGAGAGCATGTATCATACTCCATAATATGATAGTCGAAGACGAACGAGATGGATACACTCAATATGATGTTTCAGAGTTCCAACAACGAGAAGACACCGGGAGTTCACATGTCGATCTCGAATTTTCGACAGATATGCCTACAAATATGGCAAATATGATGGCCGCTCGAACTACACTTCGTGATAAAAAAATGCATCAACAACTGAAAGATGATTTGGTTGAACATATATGGCGTAAATTTGGACGTAATCAAGACAACAACTGAGCTCCAATGTATCTTTGAAGTTATTCTCATTTAATTTAATAATGTTTGTTTTTTATGTTTTTTTTAAGTTCTATGTTTAAAATGTTTTATTTTATAATGTTTAATTAAATAAAAAAAAATTTAGAATTACAAAATGTTTAATATTTTTTTAATTAAGAACCCCTAAATAAGAGACTACCATTGGAGACCCAAAATAATCATGTTTCTTAAATGTGTTCCTTAATTGCTTTTAATTAATAAAATAATGATTAAGAGACATAAGTGAGTTTTTGGGTTGAACATGCTCTAAGTGTTTGGTGGAAATAAGAAAGTATTATTTTTTAAACATTATAAGAAAGTACTAATTTTAAGCGTAATGAACGGTCGAGATGGATGCGACATGCATGCATGATCCCCACATGCTTCTTAGGTGGTGGCATTCTTACCATCATACCATGTGTGATATCGACGCGTGGACGTATACATTCTTTACGTACATCACATGCATCATCTCCTTTACATTACCAAAACATTTGAAGAAGATAATTAGCTTACTATTTAGACGCTTTTGTAACCATTTAGGTTCAATCGCTTCAGTCGTAAGGCCTGAATTATCTGGTTTTTTTCGGGTGTAAATATTAAAGAGTGTTAGGATTACATTTACATGTAAACTGAATTACCTAATTTATTTTGGCAAAAGAGGAAAAGGTAAATGACCTGACATGCTCGAATAGTATAGCAACGAAACTGGTTGATCACTTTATGATAACTATGCATGTACCTTGGTAAAATGGACAACTGGAGTGCAACCATGTCCATGTGGTTAATACCTAGTAATAGTGTAATATTGATAAATCCTTTTCAGACAATATTGTTTTATCCCGTGTATTGTTGTGTTGTATGGTGTGGGTCGATGGTAAAAGTGATAGTAATAAATTCGTGATTTAACAGTGAAGAAAAATGATATGTTTGACAAACAAAAGAAGAAAAAGTACAAATAATAAATTGACATCTTAAAACTTGTGGCTCAAATTACACAAAGCGAATTTAGGCGTCACATGGTTTCTTTTCTTATTTTTTTTTTCTTATTTTTTTTGTTTAAAGGTTTCTTTTCAAACTATACACGTTGTTCTTTTTTGTTACCGAGAAAATATATATTAATCGTACAATAAAACTTCTATAAATTATAATGTTTGAATTTTAAAATTTTATTAATTTATAAAGATATTAATTTATAAAATTATCTTACTTAGATTTATAAATTTAAGATATATTTGTTTTCTAAGATAACAAATATTTGATTTTAGTGTATAGATATCAATTATTATTTTTTAAAAATTTTACATTTATATTATATAATTGATATTTCATATAATATAAATGTAGTTTTAGATATAATATTACAAAATCTCATGAAAATATATGAAGCGTTAAGAAAATATAAAGATAATTTCATTGTTAATTTAAAACAAACAATATAATGATAGGTCCTTACTTATATAAAATATGTATACATATAAATTATTAATTTATAATTTAATTGGGACCATATAGTTACATAAAATTTTCTAAAAAAAATATTATTTTATTATTTTATCGATTTGTGTTAAATTTTAAACCAATCCAAAATAGAACCGATAAAATTTATTAATTTATAAATATTATTATTTTATCGAATGTTAATTTATAGAGGTTTTAGTGTATTTCAAACTTAAATTATTTTCTAAACAAAATGATCGCACGCAATAGTGCAAAGTTTTTTACTTATTTATAGAGCTGGTACACGTGGTTGGGGGCCTTGGGGCCGTTGGGATAAATACTTAACGGATCATCTCGCATTATGTATATTATATAAATGTTTTCATATACTTTATCCATGATGAATTTTCATGTCAGTTTGATATTCTTAGACCGATAAGAGAATAATTGAAATATATGTACTTTACTAATCACACATATACTTCTCTAATAGTATTTAAGGTAAATAAAATTATTACTAAAATTATTAATAAATATAACTGGATTAACATTTGTATGTAATAAGAAAATGTTAAAATGATACTATATTTAAATATTTTGGAGACGTGAAATGGGTGCTTTTAATGTAACAACACATAAATCAATGAAATAAATAATTGTCACCGTACCGTTCCAGATGTTCTGATCGTTGAGGTGTAGTTACATCCCCAGGCCACTTAATATTGTTGTCCATCTCTTCAAGTCGAATGGATCATTACTGCCCACCTACTTTTGTTAAGTGTTTGAGTTTTAGATAACTAATCTTCAGTTAGTTACAATTTTGAATAGTTATATATATATAAATATATTGACTATTGTTGATTATAGTATTGCACCTGTTAATACTTTACTACGAATAATTGAAATTTGAAAGATAAATATCTCCCCCATTAAACTAGCTAGTATTAGACAAAAGGTAAAGCTGCCAAAATATATGTATGTCGATAAATATCTAAGTCAGTAGAAATCAAAAGAGAAATAATCTATATAAGTTTTTGACGTCTGTCTTTTGATTGGACTGCATTTGCAAGTTGATAGGAAGAAGAACTGATGTTTAAAGAAATCTATACAATTTCGACCAGTAAGAGCGAACTACAACAGCGGATACCTTGGTCCGTACATACACACGGTTCGGATACTATGAAAATGAAGGCATGGTGTGATCTATTTCACTATCTTCCAATCAATAATAGTTGTTCATTGAATCTTATGGTGAGCTACACGATTTTAGATATTTGTGAACTGTCTTCTTCGTTAGATCTAGGAAAATATCTGTCACAAACTGAGCCTCATAATTATGTCATAACCAGAGGGAAAATAAGACTAATTACTCATAACCAGATTTACAAATATAAACATCACAAACTCTTGAGTCTTTATATTTCAACAAAACTGTTCAATAATTGTTAAAAGGAAATTGAGAGGAACGAAAAAAAAAAGAGGAGAACATTGTAAATAAAAAGGAAAGTAAAAGTATATATATGAGAGTTCGATTTGTGTTTAGAAGGATATGGAATTGCTTCCAGATTTAGCAAAGAAACATAAATGTTTGCTCCTTTAATGTCTTTAAACGTTATTCCAAATCTTCTCCAACATGTCTACTTCGTCCCGACACATTTCTTATACATTTCTCCTTTTGTTAAACCCTTTATCCAAATTTGGTACTCAATAACATTATGAGAAGTTTCGAGAAGTGTATAATAATTTTATTTTCTTATACAAAAATAAAGTACTAAGTTGGTTATTTTCCTGATTAGTGGTAATATTTTAAAATTTAACATATATTAGGTAACAACAAATAAATACTTCACTACAGAAATACTAGAAATCATAAAAGACTAGGTCTTCAAATTATATTATGGATAATATACTGCGTCAAAGGGTAATACTACAATTAATTAATTTATTGTTGCCCCAAAACAAGGTTGAATTAACTATTTTGTCGCCATTCAGCGTATCTAAAACTCGACCGACCTCAGAAGGCAACTAGATTTCCGAATGAATCTAATAAAAATCCTAAATAACCATTCCCCTCACATGTCGGTCACTTTAACTCCCTCAAAGTCATGCTAAACAAACTCCACATCAAGAAAAGTCCATCCGTGGAGAACCCACAAGCCTCTGTTACATAACCGTAACTCACAACCTCGTCACCGTAATCTATTACCTTATCTTTTAACCACAGTACAAACCCAGCTCCGAGTCTTAGGCAGATAGTCTTAACCACAGTTAAAAACATTTAACCGAACCATGGTTAAATACTCCCACTACATAAAAGCTTTGCCGGTGAATAACCAAACAAACAAACAAACAATAAATCAAAGACAAAACTCTTCCCTCTTCCGACAAAAACATGATGATCGGAGAAACTCGCCTGTCCTACCCAACGGTGGAGATTCCCACATGGGAAGATCTCACACCGTCGATGAACAGCCCGGACTACACCGTCCTCGAAGCCTTAGCTGCGTTGCAGCGTTACGAACCGGATCCGGATTCCGACCCGGAACTATTCGGGTCGGACGCTTACTCATGCGATCACTTCCGCATGTACGACTTCAAAGTCAGGAGGTGCGCGCGTGGCCGTAGCCACGACTGGACGGAGTGTCCGTACGCTCATCCCGGAGAAAAGGCTCGCCGGAGAGATCCGGCGAGGTATAAATACTCCGGGACGGCGTGCCCGGAGTTTCGGAAAGGAGGAGGGTGCAAGAGAGGAGACTCGTGCGAGTTCGCTCATGGGGTTTTCGAGTGTTGGCTTCATCCTTCTCGTTACCGGACTCAGCCGTGTAAAGACGGTGGTGGCTGTCGCCGGAGAGTTTGTTTCTTTGCTCACTCGCCGGATCAGCTTAGGTTTGTTAGTAACCGGAGCCCCGACCGGGTTGATTCGTTTGACATATCGTCTCCGGTTCGTAGAGCGTTTCAGCTCTCGGTTTCGCCGGTTTCTGAGCCGGTGAGTCCGAGAGCTGACTCGGAACTGAGTCGCTCACTCGGGTGTAACTATGTGAACGACGTCGTGTCGTCGTTTAGGAAGTTACAGTTTGAGAATGTGAAGTCGTTTCCTTCTTATAATAATCCGTTACGATGCTACCAAGCGGGATTCGGGTCGCCGAGAGGATCCATGTTGGGTTATGGGTTTCAGAGTCTTCCTACAACCCCGATCCGACCCGGAAATATGGATATTTGGGAGGAAGAGCCCGCAATGGAGCGGGTCGTGGAGTCGGGTAGGGAGTAACGTGCAAAGATGTTTGAGAAACTGAGCAAGGAGAATTGCATGGAACGTATTGAACCGGATTCGGGTGAAGGTCCTGATGTCGGGTGGGTATCTGAGCTGGTGATGTAGGAAAGATCCGACCCGTACCTAGATATCAAAGTCTCATTGATAAGGCAGTACAATCAATATCGGCTTTTTTGGGATCTCTTCTAAGGAAAAGAGGAGGAGATCTAGAAGTGTGTTCATATTATTATTTACTAATTTCGTATTTATCCTATGGTAATAATAATTAAATGTGGATTTTTGTGGAGGATTTTTTCTAAGAAGACTTTGTAATCTCGTTGTATAGAAATGGCTTAGGGTTTTAATTATGGAACATTAATATATATTGTTATAATATTTTCGTCTTTATAATGTTAAATGTAACATATTTGTTACTATTATTCAGTGAATGAATGCTAATTATCATCCATTATGTTTACACAAGTTTTTCTTGATTCGGTACAAATTATTTTGTTATTAGTGAAGTACGTAAGGAGAATGACTTTTTCTGCTAAAGTGAGAATTCTTTAACGTTGAAATGTTGTTTTAAGTTTTGACTGAGTTTAAAAGCTTGAATGAGTATTTACTAATTTGTGACGATTTAACTGGTCAGTAAATGTAAAATAGTGTTTGGGCAAATCATTCGTTCTGACATCATAAAATACAACCAATACTATTTAGGAAAATGACATTGACCAATACAGTTTGTGCAATACTAAGTTTGGTATATAAAACTTGATTTGTTTTGTTAAAATTTTGTGATTGCTTATCTAATTAATGTCAAAAACGACTTGTGGGTCCAATGTTAGGTATCATCACAATTTCAGTAACTTTTTGAAGAAAAATAGTATAATTAAATGCAATATGAATGTTCATATGGGGAAGTGGCCAAATCTGTAATCAGCGAAATTAATAGATTTGTGTAGGGTAATTAGCCCACAAACTCAACCCGAATGTCAAAAAGAAAACTAATTGTAAATCATTTTTGTTATACCAGTTTACTTCTATAAATATCTCAGTTGATTTGCTGAACCCATGTATATTGCATATCTTCATTATTTTGGCATGAGTGATGAACAAGTCTATTGGAAAACAACCGAATTAAACTATAAGTTCATTTAAGTTTTATCCAACTCCAGTTAAAATATTTTATGCATATATTGCTTTTACTATCGAAAATTTAACTCGTGGGAATGAACTAAAATCTCTTTTAAAATACAATTACTTTAGAAAATTTATTTCATTTTATATAATCAAATTCATTACACATACAAAAAACACGACATAAGAAGCAATTTGCTTCATCACAAAAGCATCTTACAAACTGTTTTTTTTCTTCAATTAATGTTTTGCGGTTTACAAGTTTTCTTATAAGAAAACAAATGAATCTTTAAATCAGATTTTAACTCAAAACAAATAAAAGAACACAGCAAAAAAATAAAACAACAAATAATTTCAAGATGAGACCATAGAAAAGATCAACCAAACCTTGATTTTATTTCTCACTACCTTGCCGTTGGGCCATACGTGTTGTTATCTCCAAAAGTAAGTGAAACCGAGCCCGACGAGCTAATATAGTCACTGATGCTATATTTCCGAACTGGAGTAATCTTCGTGTTCCTCTGTTCCTTCTCCTGCAGGCTCTGTGGCTCACGAGCCATCTCAGCGACCAAGCACTGTTTAAGATCAGACACGATCTGGTTCATTGTTGGTCTGTGTACTCCTCTGTCTTTAACGCAAGACATTGCGACCTCTACGAACTTCCAAGCAGAGTTTGTGGAGAAATAGCCGTGAAGCCGTGGATCCACGACGCCATCTATGTCTCCAATTTCGAGGAAAGGCTCAACGTAGTGGACAACGTTCATTTTGTCTCCGTCATCGGTTTTCATGATTGATCTCCTGCCAGTTATGATCTCAAGGAGGACGATTCCAAAGCTGTACACGTCGCTCTTCTCGTTTAGCTTAAACGTGTTGTAGTACCTGTCAAACAAATGATATGTTTAAACTGGAAATAACTGAATAGATCTTTTTAGCCTGCGGATTCTGTCCGAACCGAACGAAATTTCTGGTTTTTGGTTTGGTTTAGGTTTGGAGTTCGGTTTGGTTCATAGATAATTCAAAACCGAAAATAACCAGAACCGAACGGAACCGAGTTTTTTTCGGTTCATATTGGTGAGATCATGGCGGAACCGAATAAATGGAAACCCAAAAATACTCAAACCAAAATAAACGAATAAACCAAAACCGCAGGCCTAGATCTTGTGATTAAACCGGTATGTGTAAAAAGGAAATATACTCTGGATCAACGTAGCCTGGAGTGCCCATGACTGCAGTCACGACGTGGGTAAGATCGTCTTCAGGGAAGACTTTAGAAAGACCAAAATCAGCAATCTTGGCTTCCAAGTTATCGTTCAACAGAATGTTTGCTGTTTTAACATCTCTGTGTACTATCGGTGGTCTGCATCCATGGTGCAAGTACTCCAATCCTGCCAAGAGGAAAAACAAAACCAAGTTTCAGAACTAAACCATACGAAACTCAGTATGTAAGAACGGAGATTAACCTTGTGCAGAGTCTATGGCTATGTGAAGTCGCTTCTCCCAGCTAAGATCTTCTGCATTCTCGCTTGAAAGATAGTCTTGCAAGTTTCCGTTGGCCATGTACTCGTAGATGAGAGCCATACCGCGACCATCATCGCAATATCCAACAAACGAGGCTAAGTTCCTGTGATGTACTGTCAAAAGAAGCTCTGCCTGTAAAACATTTCAAAAAAAACAATGTCTATGGTGTTCATTTGATTTTGGTTACTAATGTTTTTTGGCGTCTTTATAAGTACCTCGACTTGGAACTCTTTGGAAACTTGAGATGATGAAGAAGATGATGATCCTTTAGTTTTTCCAAATGATGAATCAATGATCATCTTCACGGCAATTTCAGTCCCATCCTCAAGGCAACCAAGGTAGACTATACCAAACCCTCCTTTACCAATCACTTTAGCGAAGTTGTTTGTAATGCTAGAGACTTCACTGTACGTGAACCTTCTCTTCCCTGAAGGCAGGAGCGGTCCTGAATAGGCTCCTGAATACAACTAGAAACATTAAATACTTTGACCGTGAATAGAGTTAAATGACCAACCGCCTTACCTATTTTTCTTTCCCTTCGCATGATACATATGGTAACCAAGGCAACAATGAGAACGATCAATAGCGTGAATATAACTATTGGCACAATGATTCTGTTCCCATCCCGACATGAACGTGAGTGACAAATGTTGCTTTCATCCACACTAGAAACAGAGAGGAGGAAACCGACAAGCTTCAGACAATGGTAAGAGACCGCAAAGAATAACTATGGTTCAGTGTTTTCGACAAGCAAAATGTACCTGAGTGCAAGGCTACCAGAACTTGATTCTTTCCTAAGAGCTTTTGGGATAAATCCAACAAACTTATTTCCTTTCAAATTTCTGCAACAAATATATGAGAAAATCATCATTCATTATCTGTCAATATATTACTATGCTCTGTGTGCTCAACTTACAGGTACTTCAAATGTTTTAGATCAGCTAGAAACTCCGGCACAACTCCTCTTAAGTTGTTGTTAGATAAATCCCTAGGAAAACAATGCACACCTCTCTTAGTATTCATAGGTAATGGTGGAAAGTGTGTATTGATTGTATGTATACTTACAATGACTCAAGATGAGACAGATATCTAAATGACAAGGCTATTGGTCCTTGTAGTCCGCTGGAGCTAAGATTCCTTCACGCAGAAACAAAATTATCATCAGCAAAACTTTACATGAAGCTTTGTTTGGCTGAAAGAAATGACTTACAAGGACTTGATATGATGATTAGAATTGTTGTAGATGCATCCAACACCTTCCCAAGGGTACAGTCTTGGGGAGCAAGGATCACCAGTCCACGCCTTTTGCACTTTATATGTTGATTTTATGGTTTCTATCGCGTTAACTGCAAGAGAAAATAGAAAACTGTAAGTCTCAGTTAATATCAAGCCATCAAGGTTTCAGTAAGTAATAAATGAACTTACTGTCTTCAACTGCGGTAGTTTTTTCATCTAGAGATTGTGTTGTAAAGATCTCAATAGCATTAAGTATTGGTGGAAGTGTTGAACCTGAAGCCTTCTGGACAGAGATCCAATGATCTTTACCGGTGAAAGCTCGCGAGTTAGACAATGTCATTGAATATTCAGGAGAAGGATTGAAAGCTGCTGAAACAGGCGAACCATTCCACATAATCTTGATCTTTCTGCTCTCATTCCTCTTGAGACTCTCAAGTTCTGCAAAGTAGAGGTAAGCATAGAATCTAGCGTCTGGATCATCTGATGTCCATGACAACTCCAACGGTTCGTCATCGCTTTTAGGGTAAGCAGCTGTCTTGATAACTTCATCTGGTGGCTTATAACCAGACTGGAAAATATCGATATAACCAGTCGTCTCAATTGTGTTCCAAGAGGCGTGAGAGTAGGGAGACCAGATACGATCATACACATCTTTTTGGTACCGTCCTGTTGCGTTCCAAACTGTTCCTGGGTCTAATCTTTTATATAGTACCAATGAGACGTTCCTTCCAAACTCAGTACCGTAGATCGAGCTGTTCATTGGCCGGAGCTCCAACGCAGATATAAAAGGAGTTCCTTTACCTTTGTTCACAAGGCAGACGTATACAAAGTCTGACTCCGCGAACGTTAATATCTCTTTGATGACGTTCTCAGAAGCGTTTCTGAACGTTACCGTGGACCAGAAGTTAACGTTTACGTAGAGATCAAACTCAGGGAGAGCTTTTTTACCGTCGTAGTTTCCGTACATAAACGTAGCTCTGATGAGATAAAGATTGTCTTTTCCATCGGAAGGGGTTAAAGTGTAGCAGTTTCTGTTTCCTTGAGGGAAAGATCTGACGTCGGCGAGCGGGAAGGGTAAATTATCGATGGCTGGGTAAGAATATTCTTCAGAGACGTTCACGTTTACTCCAGTGTTTATGTAAGATGCGTCCCATGTGTAGCTGATACCAGTATCAGTGTCTACGTAGTTTATATTAGGGGGTGCTCCACAATCTATGCTGATGAAACCTGGATGTGATCAGGAGAAGAACGTCAAGGACCATTATTAATTCTAAATCAAGATCTTTAAAACCTACTACAACTTTTTCAAGTTTTATCAATAATCAGATTACGGTTGTAGCCATAGTGCAACCTAATCATCTAAAGAAACTTTGTTTTGTAATATCGAGAAAATAAAGAATAAATCACAACTTTGAAATCCTTCTGGTCTGAAGATGGTCATTTTCAAATCAAGACAGAGGAAGAAAAGCAATAATAATGAGACCAACGAACCTGCTTGGCCTTGGCCATGAACAACAATGGCAGAAGCAATGACTCCAAAAAGGATAAGCAAAAAAGAGTGAGGAGCTCCCATGTTCTTCTCCGTTTTGTGAAAAGCTCAATTCATCATCGTCAGAAAAGAAAAACAGAACCTGCGATCAAGTTAACACAGAAACACAAAAGCACCCAAAATACAAAAGTCTACGCCCTGTTTCCTTATCTGTATAATATAAGTGCTGCTCACGTCTGAAAAAAAAAAACAAAAGCGGCAGAGACATAAAATAACATTGTAAGACAGCTGTTAATAAAACTAGGGATCGTTAACCCCGCGCAAGCGCGGGGTTTGTATGTTTTTAGTAACAATGATTTCCAAAAAGCTCAATAGAATTGCTTTCATTGGGAAAAGACATGAACCTGATTTCAAGCTCTTTAAGGAGCATATATCTTTTATCTTTTTGCAATTATACTTAATTAGTTGATATAGTTTAACATGAACTTGTGTTTTGGAATAACTGAACTCCACATCTGGGGTGAAAGAGAGATCAATTTCGACAATAATGGCATGGAGAGGATCTTCCTGTGCTTTGTTTTCCTAATGTTATTTAAAGACCTGGTTATTTTCCTAATGTTGTTTGGTGATAGATGTCACTTTGCACATGGGGAAGCAGACCTACGCAGGTCAGGATCTCCTGAGTTAGAGAAGTTTACTTGGAAAATAAGTCTCTTCTTTTGTGCTTGACTCACGTCTTCACCTTTTTTTTATGTTGTCGTCTTTGTTTATGAGAACTTTTAGAATTTAATTTTGGTCAACTCAAGTTTGGGAGATCTCGTAAATGGTTCACAAACTTAGAAACATACAGTGTCCGCTCTCTGCTGTATCATCTGGTCATATGATTTTCTGAATATGTTGAGCGTTTTTCTTGCAGTAGAAAAAATAGCATTACCAATGATGCTGCTCTCAGTGTTTGGAAATTTGAAAATCCCAGTTTTCTTTCTTCTGGTAAGCACTCAACATATACAACAAAACACCAATACAGATGTCGTACGGAACTCACTTCCAATCCAGTTTTGGAAGACGACAAGATTACCATTATCATATCTCAAGAAATTCACATAAGGCTTAATATATATGGAAATACTTCGAATCAACATTCAAGACACTAATTATAATACAGCAAAATATTATAATCTATTGACTATAAATATATCAGGCAGAACATGTGGTAATTGTATTGGAATATACAGACTCAGACTACCTGTGATCATATCACAAGATTCTCACACCGTAGAAGACTAAATAAAAGTATACGTAAATTATAAGATTTCCTTTGATCATATCTCAATATTCTCACGCAAAACTAATATATATATTTTGAACCGACACTCTAATTAATACAAAAAAATATTATATATATTGACTATAAATATATCAGGTAGGACATGAGGCATGAGCATATAGAGGCTACCTAGCTAACAATGGCGATCACAAGAACTAAAGGCTTCATTTTCACCAACCTGCAGCTTAGAGGATGCTTCTGGCTTCTTTGTTTCACTTCTCTTTGGCCTAGGCCATTACTTGGGGGAGTGTTCTGGTTGCATCGGCACTCAGCCTCCAACACGCTCTTCTCATGGGAGTAGCCTCAGGAATTGCGTTTCTCCTTGGTCTCTGACGTTCGCTTCACCTAGCGTTAACAATGGCGTTGATAGTTGTTCTCTATTGTTTACTGAGTTCTTCATCAGACGTATTAAAACCTCTCGTTCCTTCAAAACCAGATTATGTCTTTGTAATTTAGTGTTTATACTCTGTTTTTTTTCTTTTTAAAAAGGTTGAAACTTTACCTGTCCATCAGCGACAATCACCAGAACACGAAACTGTGAGTTGTTAATTCAACAATGTCGACTTCAGCATCGATGAGCGGTACATGAGACGTTGGCCCTTTTGAAACAAAAAGCTTATTCAGAAGCTTGTGGTTTGGTAATGAAGGTAAGAGATTAGGAAAAAAAACCTGATAAAAGCAAATTAGGTGTGATTCTTCTGTAACATGATAAGACATCTTCAAAGCCCTGGCATGGAGAGTTGTCGCTGTGGAAACTGAACACTTCCTCGTCATGGGTCGTTGCTCTTAGTGAAATCAAGTTAGACTTGTAATCCAGCTACAAGCATTCCAGTAACACAACCACCCACAACCTGACCATCTGGTCTAGACAGAGATACACTTAAGCTACCAGTTTTGGTCACATTTCCATTACTCTCAGTATTCAAGAAAGAGCCTGACATTGAAATGATCTCATATGGACAAAGAAGAGCTCAATACACAGACAATCACAAAGACACTAAAGCTCCAGTTCTCAAATCAAACCAAGAACATGAAATGTAATACCTCATACTTAACAACTCCATTAGGATAGTTAGCTTGACGAAACATCATAGTAGACACGGCTCCGGTAGCTGAGAGAATACAGATCGCGCGTGGACCCTGTTGCGTGAACACCACTCCTTCATAGCTATGTCCTGACACATGTTTAACCAAAAGGAAGGAAACACATCAAAAGACAAAGCAAATTACGACATAAGATTAGAGATTTACTACCTAAGAAGACACATTACCTCTCCAGTTTTGACCTCAATTACATGAGGTGTAAACCCTACTCCACATGTTCCTCCTGCTCAGACAAAACACACAGAAACCTAAGTAAATCGAGAATTGTAAACAGTGAAAATGTTTTAAGATCGAGTTTGAGACAGTACCTAAAGCGTAAAGCTGCTTCTTAAGCGTAAACCTACTGAATGTCACACATAATAAAAGAGGTGCTACGGAGCAACTTACAGCCTAGTCAGATCCAGAAGGTTTGTTACTGCAATGGCAAAAGGTCCAACATTCGAAACCGCGTAAACTTCTCTGCGAATCAGAAAGATCAAAAGCAAATCAAATCACGTTGATATAGAGAAGAAAACATTTTTAAAGTAACTTACATTTCAGTGACAACCCTATAGTCTCCCTGTGTAGAACATGTGACACCAGACCAAGGAGGAAAGTCTTCATCTCCACAAGGATCGTCACCAACCCATTAATACACCACTCTCCATCCCAGAGAAGCTTTGATTTCATTCAAAGCTTTCATGGTCCACAAGATCAAACACAGATTCATAACTTTTCAGAAAAGCTGACCATGAGCTACGAAGATAGAATTCGATTGAGATTTGTACATATATACTATCAGATCTAATCATTGTACTACACATGAATCTGCAGAACTCAGCTCAAATCCGAAAAAATAAGTTCGGAAATTAGAAACGAATAAGTAAAGAGTATAACCTAATTGGATCTTTGAATAGATCTTTTTTTGAAACACGATCTTTGAATAGATCATTCCCAATTATACCTCAAAAAGGCAAAAATTTATCGCAGAACCTCATTGTTTATATTATAATCATGGGGTAACATCAAGGATCAATAGATACAAACACAAATCAGGAGAATTAACCAAATAATCATTCACAAAGGAAAGAGAGCGGCAAATCAGAACCTTCATGAGACTTATTGAAGTGATGGAGAAGACTCGAAGAAGAAGAAGACAAATCAGGCTTTGTGGAGAAAACTTCATCAAGGAAGACAAGTCGAGAATGAGATTGGATGATCGAAGACCAGCTTCTCTTATAGCTTTTGATACCTTTTTAAAACATTACCAAGTTAGACTTGAAGAATATGGAAGTAGCACAGAAGCCGTGGTGTAAAAGTCAAGTAGATTTCACGGATGAGAGCGTACTTCTTCTTGGGGTTTTTGATCTTGTCAAAAACTGAGATAGAAGGATCTGACGGTGATCCATGAAATCTCTTCCTCTTCTTCTCTTCTTCGATTTTAATAGAAGGATCCATGAAAAAAAAAAACGAATCACCAGAATCGGAACCGTCTTTCGTCGGCGAATCTTATGGTGGAGATGATTAAACCCTATCCGCAAATGAGTCAACAATTTCTAATACTCTTGGCCCAAACCCAAAACTCAAAGTTTAGTCGCTGGAGAAAAAATTAAAAAATAAATATAGGTGGATCCCACACATAGCTGATGTGGATAGCTTTAGAAGCTTTGAAAGTGAACTTTTATAATATAGACTAGATTTTATACTCGCGCTACGCGCGAGTCTGTTTTAATAATTTAGTTTAATTAAAATAACTTAAAACCAAAATATTAATTGAGTAATATAATTTTCTTATTTAAAATATAATCTTTAATTTAGTATTTATGTTTTCTTATAATTATGTTATCTTATTAGCTATTTAGTTATTTGTATTTGTAAATATAATANTAAAACCAAAATATTAATTGAGTAATATAATTTTCTTATTTAAAATATAATCTTTAATTTAGTATTTATGTTTTCTTATAATTATGTTATCTTATTAGCTATTTAGTTATTTGTATTTGTAAATATAATAATTATGTTTCTAAACATATTCATATTTTTTGGAAATATTAATTTATATTTTAAAATATTAAATAGATTTTTCAATACATGTAAACTTTTAACACATTATAATATTTTCATCATACATTTTTTATATCTTTTTTAAACAAAATAAAAGATTAAACTTCAGCATAATATATAATTTTGCTCTGTACTCAGAAAATATCATTTTTTTTTATTTTCTCTTTAAGTTGTATAAAATTTTAATATTAACATATTTGTTATAGTACAGATTTTTGTTACCATTCACCTTTTTAAAAATAACNAAGTTTTCGATGGCTTATAGCCTCAATTTCAAATAGTATAGAATATATATATATATATATATACATTACTATTCATTTTTTAAGAAATAGTAAAATTAAGATAATTATTTGACTAATTATTTTTGGTAATTATTTTATGTTATTTTCGTAATTATTTTATATATTAAGTTAACTTACATATGATGTTTTATTTTTTTAATTTTACCATATTTGATATTGATTTATATTTTATTTTGGAAATTATTTTTTTTTTAATATTGACTTTTACAAAAATAGTAAAGTTAAGATAATTTTTTATTTTAATTAATTTCGAAAATCTATAAATATTAAAACTAAATTATATATAATGGTTTACTTTTTTAAGTTTCCCTTATACATAATTATTATTATTATTTTATATTTAGTAACATTAACATTTTTAAAATAAGAAATCAAAAAAACTTATGTATCATGATATGATTGCAAGACTTAAATCTTATGTGGTTGTAGTCATATTGACTTTTTCAGAAATATTATAATTAAGATAACTTTTCATTTTAATGTTAAAACTAAATTATATATAATGTTTTAATTTTTTTTTAAGTTTCTCTTATACATATTGTTTTAGTAACATTAACAATTTTAAAATTAACAAATCAAAAAATTTATGTGTCATGATATGATTGGAGGACTTAAATTCTATGTGGACGTCTTTATGCCTTATAGCCTCAATTTTTATATAGTATAGATAGATAATATCTAATAATATTTTTCATATCTTTTCATCAATACGTAATAACTCGAAACTCATTAGCAAACCAACCTTATAGATGTTACGTGCTTCCCAAAAGTGAATCATTCTAGCAAGAACTTCATTCTTATTAAAACTTTTTCTAAGATCATCGAAAACCAAAGAAGAAGTCAAATCAACCATTGTATCAATATATCTTTTCTCTTTCCAATATATCTATGTTTCTCAACATATATTTTG